GGCTCCCACGGGGTTTTTCACCTCCTAAGGCAGGATATAAAGAAAGGGCATGACCACATTGACAGTGGGGGTTGTGCCCACCTCAAAACGAAGGTTAGAATCCCAAACCTCTAGCCTATAGGTGTAATCCTGTTTGAAAATCCAGATTTGCTTTGTTATGCTAATAGGTCTGTTATCAAGGTGTGCCCTAAACCTAATCACTGCTGTGTCACAAAAAGAGTAGATGAGACCCAGAAGCAGAACACACAGGAAGGTGTTCTGGTGGCACAGTGGTAAAGTGTTGGGCTGCTAACTTGCAAGGTCAGCAGTTCAAAGCCACCAGTCTCTTCCATAAAGAATTACAGTCTCAGAAACCTGCCCTATAGGCTCACTACAGGCCAGAATCAACTTGATGGCCGTGAACTGAGTTGACCTGAAGACAACCTTTCTCTAGAAATGAGAGTCTGAATTTGGACTTCCAGCCTCCTAAAATGTGAGAACATACATTTCTGTTCTTCTGGTACTTCTAAGAACCGTAAGTCAACAGTTTGCACGTCCTTAGGGTCATTCTATTTTCACTATTTCCCAAAATGCAAGCCATCTGCCAGGAGTTAGGACCAATGAAAAGTGCTTCATTAAATCCCACTCAAGTGTCAGACACCAGGCTGCATGGAGGAGAGAATGGTGGGAAGCTCGGTGGCCACAGGAGGTTACATGGTAGCAGAAAGATAGGAAAGGAAAGGACAGGCAGAGAGAAAACAATGGAAAACTAGACTAGCGTAGGAAAGGTAAGGGCTGACAGAAAGGCTGCGGACCTTTCTTCCTCAGGGCAGTCTTAGGACTTGGGTGGTCTCTATGAGATGCCATGAATTGAAAATGGCGGGGTCAGATTTGACATCAACTTGACGGTACCTTTGTACAGGTCGGGGTGGAGCCCAGCCTATGGATCAAGTCACAGCCTAACGATGCCTCCCTGGGGTGTGACTCTTCCAGTAAGAGGGGTACCCAGGGGAACTGGGCCCACTCTTGCTGTTCTTGGTCTTCCTGTTTGCCTGCATTGCTATTTGGCCCTGGTGCTGACAGCCCGCGTGGCCTGTGGACCCTGGGAACTGTGGCGCCCTGCCACGTTTCCATGATCCGTGGATCCTCATGACTCTGCACCCACCAGCCTGTGATCTCCCAGCTTCCAGCTTCACCTTTCTGCTTTATCCACCGGCAGCTGCATGAGGCTCAAGAGGCCCCTGGCTAGCATCAGAGCCATGGACTTGAATCGGACTGGGAGAGGTTGCTTTTTGATATAAAATTCTGTCTTGTGATAGTTCTTTCTACAAACATATTTCAAACCACATTCTACAAAGTTCTTTCTTGTGCATATTTGAGTGCCACTGGTTTTGTTTCCCTAGAAAACCCAGCTGTGTTAGTTCCGGTGGACTAGAGAAACAAATTCATGGACACTCATGTGTATGAGAGAACTTTATATTAAAGAGTAATTGTATATTAAGGAAACACCCCAGCCCAGTCCAGATCAAGCCCTTAAGTCCGATATTACCCCATATGTTGATACCAGTCCATCAGTTCCTCTTTAGACACACACAGTCATGCAATGATGCCGAATGCGGGAAGATCACAGGCCAGTGGGAGGGGAACTCTTGTGGATCCAGTGGTGGTAGAAGCATCTTAACACTGGCGTGGGTCTCCATGTGGCTCCTCCAGCTCCAGGGCTCTAGCATAGCTCCACGTCATCAGGAACGACAAAGCAGAGCGAGCTATTTATCTCTCCAGCACCTCCAAATGAGGTCATCAAGCAACGACCTGATTGACAAACTAAACGCCACCCTTTCTCTCTTAATAGTCTCAAGTTGGCACCAGATTATGCAACCGCCGCACCAGCCTAGCACAAACCCTAAGGACACGAAGGTGCCAGTTATGAGCTTTGAGAGTGACGGGAGAGGGGAAAGCATCGTGGTTGGAGGGAACAGCACATGCAAAGGTCCTGAGGCAGGAAAAGGGACGAGGCCTTGAGAGAACTAGCAAGTGGTCAGCGGGACTGCAAAGCCGTGAACAGAGGAGGATGAGATGGGCAGGGTGGTGGATTCCGGTAGAGGTGGCAGCATGGTAAGGAGCCTGGATTTTTTTCTAGAGGCCCAGGAAAGCCACTGGTGGGTTTCGATGAAAAGGCAGCAAAACATGATTTATGCTTTAAGAAAGGCCTGGCATGGGGCAAGAGTAAAAGCAGGCAGGAGGCTGCTACCATTTCAAAGGGAGAGATGGGAGTGGCCTGGTCAGGTTGGGGGTGGGGAGAAGGCAAGAGAAGGTGGAAGGCATGGGCTGTGGACGCAGTTTGGAGTTGTGACAGGAGGTGTGATGGACCGGAGGTGGGGCGTGAGACTGAGGGAAGCCTGGAAGATGTGTCTCAGTCTCTGGTCTGAGAAACCAGAGGGATGGTGGTGTGAGGGAGGCCCGGGACTGGAAGAAATGGATGTGGGAAGCTGGTGCCTGGAGACAGGCTGATGTGCAGCTCGGAAGACAGTGTGGGCTGTAGCCACCTGACCAGTAGATGTGATCTTGAAGGGGGATGTTACCGAGAGGAAGGAAGGCAGACAGGGCCAGAGCGCTGGGCCCCTATAGCCTGTCCACAGCACCAGGCAGAAGAGGACGAGCTAGCTCAGGTACCCGAGGGAGGGAGCATCCAGAGAGGCGGGAAAGAGCAGCGCTGTGCAGGGAGAAGGGGTCGCCCACCTGCGTGGTGGACAATTGATGTGTGGGGGCCTTTTATACAGACCTCACACTGCCTTCACACAGAATTCAGCTGCGGGGCAGGTCCATGCCCAAACAGGAGGCAAGCAGAATGCCAGGCACTGAAGGGCTAGACAGGATTCTCTCTTAAAAAGGGACTCAAAAGAGCCAGGGTCCTTTCCCTTCTGCAATGTCCTCCCCACGTCCTTCCAAGGCCGTAGTGAGACATTAGAAGTGTGCGCTCTCTCAGGACAGCTCCCCTGGCCTCCCATGACAAACCAGTTGCCACTGAGCTGATTCCATCTCCTGGTGACGCCGTAGCAGCGGAGGGTTAGCCATGGCTGCAGCTCACCAGGCCTTTCTTCCAAGAGGTTATCAGCCCCGTGCATGAACTGTTGGCACCACTCACAGTCTTGGGCTCAGGAAGGGGCAAGACCGCCATGGGAATCCTGGTTCTGCCACTCATTCACCGCGTGGCCTCAGAGGATAGCTACTTCACAAGGCCTTACTCTGCTCACCTGCAAAACAAGGACAACGTTCCTCTCCTGCTGCGATTGTTGTGTGGCCCTAAAGCAGAGGTGCGTACAAGTGTTCACCAGATTGCCTGATGCCTCGTAGGTGTTTTAAGAAGTAGCAGCTAACAGCAGGGTTGCTCCCAGGAGCCTGCCTATGTTCCAATCTCGCCCTAACCGCCCTCCGTCCAAAGCCTCACCAAGCGATCTCCCATTTTAATTCCCACGGCCCCTGCCAAATCTCTGACACTATCAGCTCTGATCTGGACAAGCTTAGCAGCCTCCGGACTTGCCTGTGCTTCCGGCAATCCTCCACATCTGTTCATTCAGCACACTTATTATTAAAAAAATCATTACTTAAAATTCTTAAAGAAACCCTCATGCACCCTAAATGACTCAGGAGAGACGTTCAATTCCTTGGCATGGCGTGCGCGGTCCTTCTCAACTTGGTCTTTAAAACAAACAAACAAGCAAACAAACCATTGTGTGCCTCCTTCCTGTAAGTCAGCCAGCGCCACTCCAAGCCATAAGGAACTGCTTACAGTTCTCCCAAGAGTCCGTCTCTGGATGCTGTCCCCTGCCGTCTCGAATGTTCTCAGTTCTCGTATTGGAAAGACAAGGCTTATCCCGCATGACCATTCGAATTGCCCCTGGCTCCTCCTCACAGAGGAAGACTCTGTGCCCACTGGGGCGTTTTCGCCATGACAGCTGTCTGCCTTTACTTCTCGATGGTGTTCTGTCTGCCCCACTTGGCTGTGAGCGCCTGCATAGCAGAGGACATGACCACTGCCTTAGATTGGACCCTGTAGCCTGCCTGGCACACAAGAGCCCCTGATGCCCTGCCAGGCACACGCACATGTTATCACACTTCTACATCAGTGAGGGGTGTTGGCAGTACCTGCTGGAAACTCTCACGCAGATGGCTCTGATCCTCCGGGTGGCAGAATTCCAAAATGTCCTTTCCCAGAAGGTCCTAGATAAAACAGACATGCTTTAATCATCTCCAGGCCCACTTCTCAACACGAGCCGACTCACTTTTCGACCGCAGTGCTCTTTTGCATCTTCTCCCACTCATCTCCCTGCATTTGCCCCACGACAGTGGTCAACAAAGGCAGATGTCCGCTTCCCTGTGGAGCCATCTCGGAGCTGGCCTCCTGGTATCCACGCTCCGTGTGCTCAATACTGAGTTCTAATTCTGCTGAAGCGCCGCACCTGCAGCTTCAGAATGCAACTTTCTATTTGTTTGCTGTGGAGACACACACTGTAATAACTGTATTCCAATAACACAAAACGAAAGCAACACAATGGCATGAGGGCCCATGTGTTGCTTATGAAAACTGGAACTGCCTCAATGTGGAAGCTGTGGCTACAGAAATGCTGTTATCCTAAAATAACTGTCCTTATGAAAAGACTGTTTACTATGGATCTTCACCAGCCTCTGCTTTATTCAAAAGACCCGGCATGAACCCCAAACAAAGTACGTTCTACAGCAAAATGGACTTGAATAAGATACATCGTCAAAAGGTAACTCTAAATGTGTCATAGGAAGTTGCCCAATTGGAGGTGGCTTAAACAGCAAAAGATGGAAAACCTCACCGAACAGAATCCACGTAAACAAATGGCCCCGGGAAGAGCTGATGCTGGCCGTGGAGGGAAGCCTACCTACAGGTCAACAGGTGTCCAGGTGACACAGGAGATGCCAGAGGAAAACTGGATCTGGCAGGAAACATCTGCCCTTGGGAGTTCTGACAGCTGAGGCTGTGTGATATGTTTTGCGACTGGAGACAGTGCGGCCTCCTACTCTGTCCCTTTCTTGTCTGTAACGTGCGTGTCTCTAAAGACGAAAATAGACTGGATGGAACCCGATAACTGAACAGAAATGTGGAAATAGATGAACGGTTCCAACGACTTCTGGCTTGGACTCTTTCTAGCTCTAAAACATGCATGCAGGTAAAATACTCATGTTAATATATCCCAAATTTTGCTCCATAGTCTTTTTAACTCACGGCTATCTGGTCAATGCAGACTCCTAGTGACCCTACAGGACAGTCGAACTGAGATTCCAAGACTGAAACTGGTTACAGGGAGTAAAACCCCGTCTTTTCCCCAAGGAGATACTAGTGCTTTCGAACTGCGAACCTTGAGGATCGTAGCCCAATGCTTACCCACTATGCCACTTTTTATTTGAAAGAAATTTAAGTCTACAAAAAAGTTGAAATAGCAGTGCAACAAAGATCTCTATACCCTTTAATTAGATTCAACAACTCAATATTTTACCCTATTTGCTCCCCCCTTTCAGATACATGCATGCAAATATGTGAAAATAAACTATATGTATGCATGTGTATATGTATATATATGTATGTAATTTCTTGACGAATCATTTGAAAGTAACTTAGAGATACATGACACTTCTCCTCTAAGTACTTTAATATGTATATGCCCTATAAAAATGACATTATCTTATAAAACCTCAATATGCCACTATTACATTATCACACCGAAAGGGTCAGTAATGCTTAAAATCAACCAATATTCATTCCAGCCATCTTGACTCTTCCTCAATACCCTCCCAAGCATCTTTTATAGCTAATTCTGCCTTCAGGCCCCAAACCCAATGAAAACTCATGACATATTGTTGTTTTCTGTCTCTGCATTTGCAAGAATCTCTCCTGCTTTATGGTGTTTCTCATCCTACTAAAATTTTTAAGCAAAGATCTGAAACAATGACGCTGTTGAAATGGGTTTTGAGAAACATGGGGCTGGACAAAGTTAAGCGGGCAGTTTTACGGCAAGACTTCTCAGGACTGTGCGTGGTGATGTGGCTTGCAAGCCTCCCAAAAGGAGATATGGTGTGAGCGTATAAAACAACAGACTTACACTGTTAGTACCAAAAAACAAAGTTTTATTGACAGATAAAAAGTTCTGTGGAATGAGAAGACGCACACATCCTTAGGCAAGATACTGTCTTGCGTCCACAACTGCAGGGAGGAATGCGCTTTCATGAAGCGGAGCAAACTCAGGACTGGAGACGCAGGGTGGGGGTCACAGCCAACAGTTACAAGAACTTCGTGAAATGACAAGCTTTCTCCACGTTAATCTTTAGCATTCATGCCTAATCTCTAAGAACAGGTTTGACTGAGACACGCTTTTAACACCAGGATACCTGTTGGCTACAGTCACAGATGGTTCCCTTTGAGCTTTGTCTGGTACATCATGATTAGGGATGATTTGAGGTACAGGTGTATGTCTGCCTCTTCCCTTACCTTAAGGTAATCGGCTGACGACTAAATTACAGGTTTACAGAGAGTCGGCAGAAGCCGGAGTAGATGGTGTACCTGAGTGGAAAAGGTGTGTGATGAAGGGTGGCCTACTTTAGGGTTACTTTGAGTAAAAGCAAAGTAAAGGTTTACTTTATTTAGGGTGCAGAGTCCTGAGACAGTTACAAGCTTTGTTTTAATCTTATTTATTTCCATGCTATTTCTTAATCTTAATCTCTGGGGACATGCTTGAGTAAGGCATTCTGTTGTGACCAAGCAGAGTAAGTATCCTTAATGGATATTTTTAACAAAGGTCTTCCTCTAAGCCAGAATCCTGACGCTTCGATTTGTGCTCCAGCAGGGAACTTGGAAGAGGAGGCTGCATGCGTCTTCAGACGAGTAGACAGGACGGCCTCGCTTTCATTCAGAACAGACCGCTCATCTAGGTCTGACGTCACCCTACTTCCGTTACACCAGTAGCTCAGTTTTATGCCCACAGATGCAGTATTTTTCAAAGGGGATCAGAGAGTTCCCTTTTTAGTGAAAAGTCAGCTATGAACCAGAGTGGTTAGGTAAAGAAAGATTGAAGACCCAAGTGTACGTCGTGTCGTTGCCTCTAATGTTCTGTTTGGGGACCTGGAAGGAAATCTCTTCCTCAAGCCAGGACACGTAGATCTTAAGCTTCGAATCTAGTACCGATGGGATGAACCGGGTTAGTGGAAAGTTAAGTCTGTAACTGTCATGAGCTCAAAACTCTACCCACCTGAGGTTGGTAGCCAATCACACTGATGCATCTTGGGTCCACAAACGTGATGATGCCATCAGAGTTGTGCCGGGATAAGAACTCCGTGGGCACTGACATCCCATTCATGTCCATGCACACAGGAGAGCTGGTCACCTGGGATGAGGAAAATCCAGTTAGGATGGTGTTGATAGAGACAGGGAGGGAGGGTGGGAGCTGGCAGCTGAGGCAGAGAATGGGAGAAATCTGCATGGGTTTCATCTCTCAGACCCTTGAGTGCAGTTAGTCCAATGAGTCCTTTATCAATGGTGAGCTTCAATCTCCTTATTGGTCACTGGGAATGATGGAACATGTAATCTCCTAGCGTGGATGTGAGATTCGAAGGAGATTCTGCACGTAAAAACCTGGGTCGAGTGTCCGGCATATAACATGCTCAAGAAATAGGAATTTGTTTGCTTAAGAAAATGTAAATTGTCTTTCACCTTCCTTTTATTAAGAACAGCAAATTAGTCTAAGGAATTACTCAAAATATTTAGAAAGTGTATGCTGAGTTTATTTCAGTATCCAGGAGAGATGAATAGCCAATGTTTATGATATGTGAATGAAGTTGCTTATTCATTTGTCTGCCAGTGGCAAAACCGAGGAAACCAGGGACCTTGAGAGAATGCTGTCTACCATATTTCTACTCATCAGTATGGGGCAAACTCTCAATTCCATAAGGACAATGAACCACCCAGCTGACGGAGTGGCTATTGTAGGTGCTAATCTCTGTGCCAGGAGCTTAATTTACACAATCTCTCTTCATCACACTCAGTTTCGACAAGATATACAAGACCTAATCACTGCTAAGGAGCCGGCAGCTTAATGGAGGACCAGGCAGACACTCAAGAAACCATAAGCAGTGGGGGGAAGGTAACTTGTGTGACCTGCATGCTGTTGGCATAAGGACAAGGGAATGATTCATTTAGACCAAGGGAACTAGGGGAGTCATTTTAGGTCGATTTTGAAAGATGAGTGGACAGGAAGGAAAGCGGGGAAGGGGGAATTTTGAAAGGAGAGGAAGAAGGGGAAAAGAAAATACCAGGCGGGAGAAACAGCCTGTGGATACCCACAGACGGGGGAAGTTGCACAGTGGCTTTATGGGAAAGGAAATGGTTTGACAGGGGACTAGGTGGAAGGGATGGAGAAGGGAAGGGGACAGGGCTGCTGGATGGCCTCACGATGAGCTTGGACCTAAGACCGTGAAGAAACATTTAAGGTGATTAAACAGGGCCACGATGAACACAGAACCCCGCTTTGTAGTTATTGGCCCAAGTGTGGAGAATGGAAAAATCCAACCCCCCACGATGCCACAAGAACCCTGCTGCTTATGACTCAGAGTTCTCTACTTTTCTCCCAGATTGAGCTTCATCCTGGTCTCAGCATGAGACGAGGAAGCCCAACCAATACTGAGGTCACCGAGATCAGAACAGGCGGTCAGACCGACAGGCTCTTGCTCCGTGTCCTCATAAGACCTCTTTGGAGATTAACAAAAAGGCTGTGAGTTTGTTCTTACCTGGAGTCTACCAATTGCCACCAGGCAATATTTACTGCCTTGTCCCACATCAGCATCTTCTTCAGGTATGGTCATTCCTAAAATGAAGAATTCCCAACATGAACGGAAAGGGGGCCAAAGGATTTGAGGTTTTCTTTATGTAATTGAAAACAGAGATCCGTCTTTGACTACTAGTGATTGGAAAGCTAGCCAATAAAGTAACGGCCCCACCCTCATTTCCTGCTCCTCTCTGCATGTCATCGGACAATTTCATGGTATATTATCCTCTGCATCAGTGGATGATTAAGGAAGATGCAATGCAAATTACTCATCTTTACATTTACCCAATTTGCCCCAACAATTAGCTGTGAAGGGCCCTTTTGGGTAAGGAGCCTATGTGGTCATGGCATGTGGTATAAACAAGTAGAAAGTGTTTGCTGCCAAAGAATGAAACAAAGGCGACCAGAGGAAAGATAAAGACACAGAATCAAATGTAAAACCCAGCACAGTTGAAGTTATTACATCGTTAGGTGATGGAATACAGGCAACCAGCGCTTCCCTCGGAGGCTACAGTGAAACGTAGTTTAAAGGCTGCAAAGGAGATACCGGTGATGGTGAAGCTCATTAGAAACGAAGGTCCCCCATAGGGGAAGACCTGATGAAAACCAGCCTGATGGTTCACTGGTCGGAAAGAGCCTGTTGTTGGCTCAGTAAAAGCCTGACATCTGGGGTCCCTCTTAACGGTTCTTGAGCAGCTGTGGCAGGTTGGAGGTACTTTATGAAACCAGCATTTTAGTTTGTTATCTCCTAAGCAGCTACTGTTGCTAACAAGAAAATAGAAAGCTCTTAACATAAACATTTCCAAACCAGGTCTGACCTGAGATCCCCATGAGAAAGTCACACAAGGATGTGAAACCCCATCCCGCTAGACTCTGAATCCATCACCACTGAGTTGGTTCTGACACACTGCAACCCTACAGGGCAGACCAGAGCGGCCCAGGGGGGTTCTAAAGCTCCAGTCTCTAAGGAAGCAGACTGCCACCTCCTTCTCCCCCAAAGAGAGTGGCTGGTGGGTGCAAACCACCGACCTGAAGTTAGCAGCCAGGTGCTGTATGACTGTGCACCACGGCTCCTGGCGCCGACCTGGAGGGTGTGTAAAACATGGCTGTGTCCTAAGAATCAGAACCGTCACTCCTTCCTCACCCCAAGTACATCTTCACACACATCCTTCCCCTCTTCTGCCTATCCCTTCCCTATCCACTTACTGTACATAACACATTTCCCTCGTTTCTGGCTGGTCCTGACCGTATTGCCTTTGCACAAATGAGCAAACACCAGTCCATTGGTTCATCTATAAAGGGCAGCAGACTGGATGCACTCTTGGGTTCCAGCTACTTCCCTTAACTCCTTATCCATTCAGAGAGCTCGTCTTCATTCTTTTTAGAATCACTCATAAGCACTGTCTTGTGTGGCTGTACCAGGGCTTATTCCACCACTCCCCTATGTATCCAGATGTTTCCAATGCTCTGCAGGTACAAACAACGCTGCAATTAATAACCCATGGACGTGTGTGCCATACGTACATAAATATGTATTTCATCCACATCCAGGGTTGACCCTACAAGTGGGATGATTGGGCTGAAAGTAGGTGCATACACGGTTTTGCTAGACTTTGCCAATTTCCCTCTCAAAGGATTGTACCAATTTGCATGTCCACCAGCCATGCAGGAGAGGGACCATTTACCTACCTGGCCAATAGAATGTGCTGTCACATTAAAATTGCCAGTCTGACAGGTGAGAAATGACATCTCAGTGTTGTCTTAATTTGCATTTGTTTAACGATGAGAGTCTGAATGCTATTTCATATATTTAAAGGCCATTTTAATCAAAATTTGCTTTTAGTGAATTGTCCTGATCCATTCCCCGTTTTTCAACTGGACCTTTAGTTCGTTTGTTTAGGAGCTTTTATGTGGTAGAGACATTAGACTTCTGTGACCCATGTTGTAAATATGTCCTCTTGGTTGACTTTGCTTATGAGGGTTTTTTTTTTTGAGGGGGGTCATGCAAATATGTAAGTGATTAGCCTTTTCCTTGCACTGTGTCTGGACCTGGAGTCATAGATGGACAGTCTGACCCACCAGCAAGGTTAAAGGAGCATCAACATGATTTCCTCGGACACTTCTATAATTTCACTTTTTTTTTTTTGCATCCAGATTCCATATTCATCTCCAGTTATTCTTTCAAAAGGCACATGTATGGATCTAATTAGAGGTACTACAGGTCTAGCTGTGGCCCCGCCAACATTTATTCAAGACCCCACCTCCACTACAGTGATTTGCAATGCTACCTTTATCCTGTACTACCTTTCCATATGGATTTGAATCTTGTGGTGGTTCCACAACTTCATGTCAACTTGACAAATAAGAACGAAGGGGTGGAGTCTAGCCTGTCAATCAGGTTCCACCCTGGTGATCCCTTCTTGTGGGCGTGGCCTTCTCATGAGGATTCTGGGACTTCCTCTTTTCCTCCTTGGAGACAGGACACACTGTTCCTCTGCTTCACATTCCTGTTGACAAACCACCTGGAGCCACGCTGATGGCAGCCAGAGCCCTGGAGATGCCTCCACTGCCATTGGACCCACAGGACTTTCCACCCGCTGGCCTGGACTCTTCCTGCATGTGGCAGCATTGTATGTGCTGCATGAGTCTGAAGAGGAATTGGATTTATAGGCTAACATTGGATTTATAGGCTAATATTGACTTTATGGACGATCTGGACTGGCTGGGATAGTTTATCGATATAAAGTTATTTCTTACATATATATGAGTGTCTCTGGATTTGTTTCTTTAGTCAATCTGGACTGACACATGTCTAAACTGGACACTATGTGATTCCACCAACTTATTTATCTATTCAAGCACCATTCCCTACTATTTTATTAATAAAGGCTTTATTGTGCATTTTAGTGTCTAGTAGAGGCATTCTGACTTGAAGTGCTTCATTTTCAAAAATGTCCTCAGGTATTCTTGCCTATTTATTTTCCCATACATTTTAAAATTATAAAACCCATTTAAATCTGTAACAAAGCTTGCTGGCATTTTTATTGGGATTGTACTGAATTTCAAAATTAACCTTGAAAGAAACACATATCTCAACATCTTCACCATGTTGAGTTGTCCTCTCAAAGAACAGAGCATGGTCTCCCAGCTTTTACACGGAGGTAGCCCAAAAAACTCCAATGCTCATTTGGCTTTTTTGATGTGTGGGGGGATAGTGCATTTGCACAGGTCAGACTGTTAATCAAGCTTTCTATTTGAGGCTGTGAAAAGAATGGGTTACAGTGTGCAACAAAGAAAGCCTGACTCAAGCAGATGAAGGGCTGGTCTTGCCACCACGCCAATGCACCTGCTCACACAGTCATCTCAGTGCACCAGTTTTGGGCAACAAAACAGCATGCCTCCCTTGCCACACACACCTTACTCACCTGATCTCGCCCAGTGAGACTTCTTTTTTTTTCCATGAATGAAGAGGAACATGAAAGGACAGCGATTTGACAGTGTAGAAGAGAAGGAAAAAATGGGGGGGGGGGTTTGAGGTAGTTAAGGCTTATTATACCAACCTGGCCCATAAGCACAGGTGGGATTAATTGAAGGGTGGAGAGATAAATGGCTCGGTGAGCATCGTCTTTCTAGTTCTCAGGTCTCTTGCTTTCTGATGGTTGGACCAGGGTGCAGCTGCCTTAGCCAGTTCCCTGCTTCAGCTTGCAAGGCTCACTTCCTGCAAGATATCCCTGAGGAGAAGCCACATGGACCTACCCCGATGCAGCTGTAGGTGCTGGAGCAGCCGTGTGGAGACCCCTGCCAGCACTGAGATGTTTACACGTTCACTGATTCAACTTTCCTCCTGCAGTCGGCATCATTGTGTCTGTTTTGTGAGATGGAGGAGGACTTTGTGGATGGTGTTGGACATATGGGCTAATGTTGGACTTGTGGGCTTGGGCAGCACTGGGTTGGGATGCTTTCATATACACTTACCCTTTCTATAAAACTCACTCTTATACATGTTTCTGTGGATTTCTTTCCCTAGTTTACCCAGACTAACACAGGGGTACTGTCAGCCATCCAAACAGATGAGTTTGAAACATGTTTCCAAGAATGGAATCTCAGATTTGACAAATGTATTAAATGTAATGGAGAGTACTTTGAAGGGGATAAAAAAATTAAATACATAGCTTTGTGGGGGGGGATTCCAGAGGGGTTTCTGGGGGGTTGGGGGGTGCCCCCTTGTATGTCTTTGCAACGTACACTGAGATTTCCTTTTGTAGGTTTGCACACTAGTTAAAATTGCTCCTGTTTGGTCTTCTTGGTTGCTATTGTAAGTTGAAATTTCTCTATCCCATTGTTCTCTAGGCTGTTCTGTGCTGCTTCGTGGAGTTCTTCTGTTGTGCGAGTTGGTTTTATCATTGATCCTTTGGGGTTTTCCAGGCAGACTATCATGTCATCTGAAACTAGGAATAGTTTATCTTCTTCTTTACAGATGTTTGAGCGTGTGCATGCGTATAACTGATTTCTCTTCAATTCCACTAGCTAATAGCTCTGCTACAACAAGGGAGGGAAGCATCCTTCCCTTGATCTTAAAGGAAAAGCTGTGAATCTTCTCCACTGAATAAGACACTCTATTGTTAGCTTAGAGATTTTTCTGAAAACATTTTTGCAAATCGTTTTAATATCTTGCCTATTAATAGATAACTAGACTCTGCCAGCCCTCTCCTCCTACAGATAATCTGCTACATTAGGTTATCATGGCTGAAGTACACATGTATGGAGAACATCTGGCTCACACAGGTAGGTAGTTAGAAGGGAGAAGCTTTCTTAGATAATGGTAGATAGTCTTCTTTGGTCTTACTCCGAAACATGACAAGTGGTAGTCTTGTAAAGGGTGACTGCAGTTGGAACTCTGAAACTATCGGAGGTGGTTTCAAAAAAAGTCAAGGGAAAAATGGAATGAAAAGATCATGGAAGCCCACTCATATGCTATAGGTTGATTTTTGCCCCAGCCCCCAATATAGTCGTATGTTTAAGTCTAATTTCTAGTACCT